GCACTTGCCTTGCATCTGGCCAACCTCAGTTCAATTTCTGGCATGGCATATGGTTTCCTGAGCATTGACAGGAGTGTCACTCCTTAGCACAGAACCAAGAGTAGCCCCTGAGCACTGTCGAGTGTGACAAAAAAAGCCCAATCCCCTCCCCAAAGAAAGCCATTTGTCAGTGTATGTCATGAACCTTCACTGGGGCCAGAGTGAGGGTATATTGGGTAGGATGTTTGCCTTCCATGTGGTCAACCCAGGTTTGATCCCCAGCATCCCATATGGTCTCCTGAGCACTGCCAGGAGTAATTCCTGCAGGCAGAGCTGGGAGTAACCTCTGAGCATCGCCAGGTGTGACCAAAAAATAATCCAAATAAAAGAACCTTCAGTTGTTCACACCTTTCTATAATAGTAAAAACTGGAAATATTCAAAGACCAATATTTGGAAAGTTATTTTATAGTTAGCTATATTATCTAAAACTTATGTATCTCAGAGACAGTACTTTGGTATAACACTTAAGATGCAGAGGGAAAGAAAGACAGGTGTATACAGAATGATCAACTCTGTTCCATGACATAAAAAGCAGTTTACTCGAATGATTGAAAAGGGGGTAGGAGAGTAATACATTCTTAACCTTCTTCACATTTTTTTTATTTTCAAACCTTCTTCCCACAAAGGATTTATGACTTGAAAGGCTGAGAAAATAGCAGAAGGATTTGGGTACATGACTTGCATGTTTGGAAGCCTGGTTCAGTCCATGGCACAACATAGACCTCTGAGAATTACCAGCTAGCTATAGCTCATGGTGGCCCCAGCACCAGAACCAGAGCAGCTCTGCATCCTCTGGCCCTAGCTTCCAAAGCTACAGCCAAGTTTGCCAAGGACTGCCAGAAGTGGCCCCAGGCCCACTGAGCACCACTTGGAAGGACTCCCATTCTGGTCCAAAGGTTGATGTCCAAACAAGAACTAATTGATCACGTGTAATTTTCTAGAAAACTTGTGAGGTAAGGGGCCAGAGCAATAGTACAGCAGGTAGGGCATTTGTCTTGTACAAGGCCAACCCGAGTTTGATCCCCATATGGTCCTCCGAGACTGCAAGGAGTGATTCCTGAACTCAGACCCAGGAATAAACCTGAGCTCCACTGGATATGGCCCCCCAATTTTTTTTGAATAAAAATTCTTGAAAACCTACAAGTTAAGATCATAGGTAGTCATGACGCACTTGCCACGGTGCATACTGAGATGCGTAAACGGTGCCTAGCAAGGTCCCTGGCTTCTGGGGGGCTGGGCTGTTTGGGCCTAACCATAGGAAATAATAATACAGCTAATCTTTGTTGTCCTCAACAGCATCCCTGACATTCTCCAAAACAGAACAGTTATGTTTGCTTTAAAGGGTGGGTGGGGGTTGAACCACTCCTGGTAGTGCTTAGGGAACTATGCAGTGCAGGGCACTGAACCCAGGCCACCCACATGCAAAACAGGCAGTTCAGCTCTTCAAGCTACTGTCCAGTCCAACCAATTAATTTCTAAGTGTAAACCAATCAAGACTAATAACCGTGGGGGCCTAGAGCAGTAGTCCAGTGGGGAGGGCTTTTGCCTTGCATGTAGCCAACCCAGGTTCAATCCCCAGCAGCCCATATGGTTCCCCGAGCAATGCCAGGAGTGATTCCTGAGTCCAGAGTCAGGCGCAACCCCTGAGCCTCGCAGGTATAATGCAAAAAAAAAAAACTAGCAACCCTTACCTACGGTGGAAACCATTTTTGGAACTATGGTCTCAAGTCAATAGATATATTATATCTGGGGGAACTACTAAACCACTAAAAAGATCATTACCATCAAAACAAGATGAAGCCACCCTGAGGTTTACTCTATGATAAACATTTCTGAAAAATAAAAACAAGTTACTGTGAAAATTTCCCTGCTGTCCATATATAGCACGATGCACCTAAGTTAGTGTTCAGAAAATTAATTTATTAGATCTGATATCCAATATTCATACTCATTAAATCAAATTCCCTGCAAGAACACTCTACAGATCTAGTCACAAAGTGATTTTACAGAGAAACTGACCCCTCTGAAAGAAATAATATTTTGACCACAAAATTGTAAGTAATAATAGCACAAAAAGATCATCTATAAAGATAAATAAGACATTTGATAAAAAGCCTTGAATACAAGACCATCACATAGCATTTAACATTAATATTCACTACAAGATGTTATATTTTTGCCCATCTCTAAGTTCCCAAAATGAAAGAATGACCAGTATACTGTTTATTCTGGAGTGATGGCAGGGGGGAGAAGTCCACAACTGGCAATGCTCAGGGGACCATATGGTGCCAGGGTTTAAACCCAGGACTCCCACATGCAAAGCCTGCACTCCATCCCTTTAAGCCATCTCCCCAGTTCCAAAATAATCTTTGTAGTGGTACCTCCAAGTAGACTTTTGAAAATAGAAATATATTTTCAAAGGTTACAAGGAGAAATCAATCTTGCGTGAATACCCATCCTGCCACATAGGTCAGTGAACTATTAACTAAAAAACAAAAAACAAAAAACTTCATAAACATTATGTTGCCCAAATACCAAACTCAATCATTAAGTATTTTCATGCAGTGTAAGCCTGAATCATTATTTTCACTCTTTAAAAGAAAATGCATTGTACTTATTAAGTATTTGGCATAAAAGAACAATAAACATAATCCCTTTAATCTTTAAGTTGCTTCCAAACAAAAGCTTACAAATAAAACATTCTCTGAATTACCAAATTAGTGGTACTGTGATGACAGTATTAACAAGAATCTCAGTTTTTACTTTTCCTCTTGGTTCCCATTCTGTGAAAATAGGTAGATTCAAATTTCAACATCCAAGAGGTTCTCTGGTAGGCACATTCAGTTAAAAAGTTCGCTAGAATGTCCATGTGGTTGCACCCAGGTCAGTTCAGTTTATCCTATCTTTATCATTTATACAACTTCTCATCAATTACCCTTTTGTAAGCTTAGGTGTGTTCACCCCTTCCCCAAAGTCAAAACGTGATTCACGAAACTGAGGTATACATAATTGTTACATTAAAAGTGCAGAATGTCACAATTCTTCAGAAGTCACAATAAGGACAGTTGAATCTTCCTAACTTTTCTGCATGATTCCAGAAGACCATTCATACTCCTTCTGTGTGAATGGCGACCGCTGGAACTGCAGCCTATCTCTAGAGAGGAATAAAGAGCAGTTCTGCAGCTCACCTATCATTTTCCATGATTACCTTAAAAATCTATGTATTTTTCAAACGCCAAAAACTTCCTAAACGGTATAAACAATCGTTAAAGATCTGGATTGTTTATTTTGGTGTTCAGTTAGTACACAATTCAGAATAGACAAGAAAGAGACCACTGGTGGTGCAGGCGTTTTAAACTGGTCATGGCATTTAGTGAACGAAGAGGATCAGAATGTATAAACAAAGCGCACCTGACCTATCTGAGTGGAGCCCAGGAAGACATTTCTCGAGCTACCTCTACAGTGGGCTCCACTGCCAGTATTCTTTTGTTCACCCATCTTCCTCTCCATTTCCATAAAAGGGAAAAATACTGAGGTGGACATTATGACCTATTTAGTAAGTGGAATTAGTAATTACTGTATCAGGATCCATCATATCTTAATAGATTAGAACAGCATGTAAGAATGCACAAACAGATCTTTACAAGTGTTAATAAAGCTTTCTTTAAAATGTTATTAAATGTTAAACTAAAATAAACCTAGATTCTGCGTAAGAACCCCAAAAAGTATACTTTGTGTATTCAACTAATGACCTTCGATTAAATCTCTCTTAGTAGTTTTAACACAAAGAAATGCCACAGGAATACAATACATATTAAGACAAAGAGCACTTCCAGCAACTAATTTCATGTACTGTATGAGATTTTTATTATAAACTGAACACCTATAAAGTGCTTTAACACTAATCATTCTTGTTACTTAGTTTATAGAAGTTTGGTTAGCTTTAACTTCAATTAACCAATATGATTTTTCTTGAAATGTTCTTTGTATATCAGCAATATGCTGTCTTCATGTGTAGAAACAGAAACCTTTCAGAAAATTAGCAAGAAAAGAGTCACCCACAAAACTCTGGGAACCCAAACTTCCCCTTCTCTCAGCTAGCAACAGTGTTGCCATGGTCTATCACAGCTGCTAAGTTCACAGAATGTTCCTAATAGTAACAGTCTCTTCAAGGAAAATTCACCACCAAAAATCTCAAGACTGCCTTAGTAGCACACAGTACCAGATGTGACAACAGGAAGGAAACAGGTATGTCGAATGTAAAGACAGACCTTTTATGCCACTGATAGCTTCAACAAGCAGACTTCTAATAAACTTGTATAAAGTCAGGAAGATTAAGGGGGAAATTTTTCAAAAAACGTTGTTTTCAATCCAAGTGACAACTCAGAATAGAAAAATGTGCAACTAGGATAAATAGAGCTTATCATGCATCGAATCCCTGGGGTGGGGGTGGGGGGTGGAAGCATAAAACTAGACTCAAGAAGAATCAGTTATTAGAAAATTTTAACAAAAGTTAGAGAACATATTCTTTCAGACACCATAAGCTCGAGTGCAGTGGCTATATAATAAAGCAAGGTGCCTATTCCTGAGAAGAATGTACTTAGTAATAATGCTAAACAGTGAGTAGTATTTCCAAGCAGTGCTAAAAAGGCAATGATGGGAGTTCAGGTAATCTTTGTCTTTTACAGAGAAAGAGACTTGTGAGAAATTCCATTACTTAAAAATAATCTTGTCCCTATCATTAACCATTTAGATTCTGTTTTTCTCTAACGTGCATAAGTGCACTGGAAAGCTCAGAACGGGTGTTTTAATGGGCTGTGTCTTGTGAATACACTGCAGTCTTCAGATTTACAGAGCTGCAGGCCTCCTGGATTGTTTCAGGTGTCACTCATCTAACCGAGCCTGAGAGCCGGGAAATGCCACCGGGTGCTCTACAGTCAGTTTAAAAAACATCCTCTACCTGGTATCTCTGCAGTGATTGTCTTGCTGCTCCCTGAAACCTCTTCATCATCATCTGACGAGCTCGTGCTTGAGTCACACGTCAGGTCACTGTCACTGGTACTACTGTCCTGCAACAGGTTGTACTTCTTCCGCGCGGCAGCCTCCCGTTTCTGCCTCAGTAGGCGGATCCTCTCCTTGTGCTTCTGGCTCCGATGACCTTTAACTTTGGGGACGCGCCCATTCTGCTTGTCACTAGATTGCCGGTTCTTCTTGGCCGCCATCGTGGATGTTTCGCTCTCAGACCGGGACCGCCGAGACTTTCGCCCCACCGTGGTGCCAGACCCCCCAGAAGGGTCTCCTTCTACGGTAGTTTCCACCTGGGAGGGCTCATTCTCTTCAGCAGAAGACAACGTATCCGAATCAGCCAAGTGGCCGCTAGAGGAAGGGGAAAGCATGCAGTGGTTAGAGGAGTCACTCTCGTAGACTTGGCCAGCCGTGGGCTTGTCACTCTCCGTGGATGCCAGCTGGGACTCGGAGGAGTCCCTCCTCAGTTCCATTAGCAAGCAGGGCATTGAAGAAAGGACTGAAGAATCCACTACACCATCTTTCTGCACCTGAGCCTCCAGTTCGATAGGTCCGTCTTCCTCCTTAGCTGTCTCTTGTTCAGATGCTTTTGGTGGGATCTCGGACTCAATGAGTTCTTCCACTTTTCCCACTGCCTCCTCCATCTTCATTTCAGACTTTCAAGTTAAATCATGGAGTAGATTCTAGGAAGCTATGTCAAAGAGGCAGCAGGAAAGCAACCTGCACGGAAACACACAAAGTCAATACACAGAAGTAACAGATCCTTAATCAATACATCTACTGTGCTAAGTGGGCAGCAAAGCTGACCATTACACAGGCCTTTACAAAGTATTTATCAGACCAGGGAGGTAGGTCAAAGGGCTGCAGCGTACACTTTGCATTCTAAAGCCCAGGTTCAATCCCCAGCACTGCCAGATCCAATGAGCATCGTACCAAGAGTACTCCCTGAAGACCACCAGGTTTGGACCAAAACCAGAAAAATAATTAAATTTAAAAATGAGATATATATCATCTGTAAAATATATGTACCTGTCATAAATCATTGAATTCAATGCACTGAGTACTATCAAAACATAGTAGCTATGTTGTACATAGCTACTATGGATGACCCAATATTCCTTTTCCATTACTGAATTCGCAGGAGCTGTCGACAACCAAACAAGGATTTTCTATTTTATAAGTGTTGAAAAAATTCTGAAGATTTTACAGTTGCTTAAAGAAATGATATCACTCTTTGAACTCTTCAAAGTCACTAGTTAAAAATGTATCTTGATAAAGGCAAAATAAAAAAAAATTTAGGGGTTGGAGCAATAGCACAGCGGGTAGGGAGTTTGCCTTGCACGCAGCCGACCTAGGTTCGATTCCCAGCATCCCATTATGGTCTCCCGAGTACCAGGAGTAATTCCTGAGTGCATGAACCAGGAGTAACTCCTGCGCATCGCTGGGTGTGACCCAAAAAGGAAAAAAAAATTTAAGTGTTGAAGGACCCTCAAAACTTTGATACAGCTAATAGGTTCATTTTCACTCTAATATAAATTAACAAGTTGTCAAATATTTAGTCTAGTCAACAAGGTGATTGGAATGATCCCATTTACACTCAAATCATCAAAGGAAGGAGGCACCAGGGCAAGTGAATCGACATCGAGAGCAGCTATGTTTAAAAAAGAAAGGAGTGAGGGCGAGAGTTCAGAGTGCTGGAATACATGCAGGAGAGCTGGGTTCAATCCCAGGCAACACACCAAGCACTGCCAAGAGCACTCTCAAATCCCAAACCAAAGATAGATGATACATGCCTAGACAGTAAAGCTTCAACTGTGGGCCAGAGCAATAGTACTGAGGGTTAAGGTGCTTGCCTTTCGTTCAGCTGATGCTGGTTTGATCCCAGCAGAACATATGGTCTCTGAACACCTTCAAAGTTCACTCTGAAGCACAAAATCAGGAGACCTTCAGGGGTGGCCCCAAACCCCAAAACAGACATACAGAACTTTCAACTACATGCTTTAGCCAAGTGAGATAGCAAAATGATTCTATTCACCTAACCTGTCTGCCATTCTTTTCAATGTGAGTTGCTCTAAAGGGTAATTTAGAAAAGCCTAAGTTTGCTATTCCCTCAACTGCCCTTCCTAATTCCCACACAGGTTTCATCATGCACATATGTTTCAGGGATCTGCAGAGTGGCTCAGTGGCCAAAAGCACCTGCCTTGCCAACACGAGTTTGATTCCCACTGCCACTCACATGTGCCAGGCACAACTCCAGAGACTCTGCACTTGGACTCCCAGTGACAGAAGAGTCTGCAATCTCCAGCTCACGGCCAGTGCACACAAGCCATGGCTTGCAACTAAAAGGCATGCAATACCTGGTGGACATCTCATGAGGAAGATGTGTGAGCACAGCAGCTAGGAGAGTGAAACCAACAAGCACCGTTACAGCCAGAATATATGTGAGCACCACACTAGTGTTACAAGCTCCGGGCATCACAGTAGCAGTAGCAGAGGGAACAGAGAGAAGGGAAGGGAGGAAAATAAAAATAAATTTAAGGGCTGGGAGACAAGTAGGTAAGACACTTCCCTTGCGTGCAGCCAATCCCAGTTTGAATCCCCAGCACCAAACATAGTCCTGTAAGCACCTCCAAGAGTGAACTATGAGTACAGAGTCAGGAGTAAGTTCTGAGCATGGATCTGGCCCAAAAGCAGAAACAACAAAAAAATGTTAAACAGGAAATTCTGCTTTAGAGCCCCCTTCCATTATGGTAAGTTTCCTGTTCTTTATCCTTTTCCCTTCTCTTAAAATCTTCACCTGAATCCTAGTAGTAGTAGTAGTAGTGATAATTAAAAACTAACAACAGCCACAAGACAACATCAACTACTTCTTGATCCCAGAAAGCCTTGTCCATTCTTCTACAAATGATTTAAGGAGTTTAAGAAAACGACCAGAGCCAGAGCAATGGCACGGCAGGCAGGGTGTTTGACTTGCATGCAGCCAACCAGGGTTCGACCTCCAGTACCCTGTGTGGTCAGTTAGCCTCCAAGCAGAGCCAGGAGTAAGACCTGAGCAGCACCAAGTGTGGCCCAAAAGCAAAACCCAAAAATTTAGAGAAAACACCCTCCACACGTCTTCCACCTTCTCCAATGCTAACTTTAGAAATTAATGTCCTTCCCACATTCAGTGTGCAACTGCTCCACTTAATAATCAAGAAACAAGACGTGATCTTTAACCACAAGTGCTGTGACCTATTCAGTGCAAACTTCAATAACCTGTAAATGGAATGGGGGCTGTATGCAAGGCAAACACCCTGCCTGCCGTGCCATTGCTCTGGCTCTGGTCGTTTTCATATTCAATCGACGGTTTTGCCTGACTGATGTCGCTGTTGTCCCAAAATTTCGAACGGGATCGGACCACCGTCTCCTTCGTGCAAAATTCTACTTCACAGAGCGGGGAGAAAGGGCTGCAAAGTTCAAAAAGAGAACTCCCAGAACGACCACCAACTGGGAACTCTTTGGTACTATTGCGGCAACATGGGAAGATGCCATTGTTGACAACATTGACGAGGAATATGATCGACTGGTTCAGCACCTCCATGAATGTGCGAGGAACGCCAAGAGAGATAGCCACAAAAAGTCGCCTATCTTCGAAAACTCTTGAGCTAATTCGCCAGCGTGGTTTGGCGCATGCCTCAGGCAACCGCAAGCTAACGTCCGAGCTTGCAAAGCAGTGCAGAGATGCGATCAAGGAAGACCTCAAAGAGAGAAGAGCAGAAGTACTGGTAGATGCGGCAGAAGCCGGGAAAAGTATTCGTAACGCCCGCCTGTCCTTCGCCAACTATAAGACCAAGATGACTGCCCTCCGACGTCCTGATGGATCCATCACATCCTCCAGAACGGCAATGGAGAAGATTATCCATGACTTCTACTCAAATCTCTTCGATAGCCATGTCCACTTGCCGACATACCAAATTCCACAGGATGGGTATGTCGTTCCCAACGTTCTCCCTTCCGAAATCCGACACGCCATTTCGTCAGTAAAGAAGCAAACAGCACCCGGCCCAGACAAGGTCAGACCTGAACACCTGAAGAACCTGCCGTCAGTACTCATCAATACACTGGCTCGGCTCTTCACTCGCTACCTGTCTGAATGCAAGGTTCCATCTCAATGGAAAACCAGCAGGACCGTACTACTGTTCAAGAAGGGAGACATCCATGACATTGGCAACTATCGCCCGATCTGCCTATTGTCTGTCATCTACAAGTTGTTCACTCGAGTCATCCTGAATAGGATTGGCAGAACACTAGATGAAGGACAACCATGTGAGCAAGCAGGGTTCCGCAAAGGATTCAGCACCATCGACCATATCCACACGATAACCAAACTCATTGAGGTTTCTCGGGAGTTCAAGATGCCGCTCTGCTTAACGTTCATTGATTTAAAGAAGGCCTTTGATTCTGTTGAGACGGAAGCGGTCATTGAAGCCCTAGCCAATCAGGGCATACAAGCCCAATACATCAGGATCCTCCGTGAGCTGTATTGCGGATTCACTACCAGGATCTCACCATTCTACAAAGAAGTGATCGTTGATGTCAAGAGAGGGGTGCGGCAGGGTGATACCATTTCACCAAAACTCTTCAGTGCCACCCTTGAGAACATCATGCGACGACTGGAATGGGAAGGAATGGGAGTGAAGATAGATGGTCGGCAACTACACCACCTCCGCTTTGCTGATGACATTGTTTTAATAACACCAAACATCAGCCAAGCGGCACAAATGCTGGCCGACTTTGACCGTGAGTGTGGAAAGGTAGGACTACAGCTGAATCTTACGAAGACAATGTTTATGAGAAACAGCCTTGTTCCTGACGCCCCATTCGCTCTCAATGGAACGACCATCTCTGAATGCAACAGCTATGTGTACCTAGGTCGAGAGGTCAACATGACAAATGACCTGGCACCCGAGCTGCGCAGGAGGAAGAGAGCGGCTTGGAACGCCTTCAAGAACGTCGAAGAAATAGCTAAGAGGACGAAGAACCTCCGGCTCCGGGCACATCTCTTTGATTCCACTGTTCTTCCTGCATTAACATATGCCTCAGAGACCTGGGCCCTACGCAAACAAGATGAGAACGCCATTCAGGTCTCCCAAAGAAGAATAGAAAGAGCTATGCTTGGAATATCACGTTTCACTCAAATGAGAGAACGAATCCGGAGTTCTGACATCCGTCGACGATCAAGGATCAGGGACGCTGTCTCATTTGCCAAGGTGTCGAAAATCAGATGGGCTGGTCACGTAATGAGATTTAAAGACGACCGTTGGACTAGAGCTGTTACTGATTGGATTCCACGGGATGTCAAGAGACCGCGTGGCCGCCCACCTACCAGATGGTCAGACTTCTTTGTCAAGGTCATGAACGATCGGTTTGAGGCCCTCCATGTTCCCGGAGCGAAGAGATGCCATTGGGCTACACTAGCACGCGACAGGGACAAATGGAGACGTTACTGGCACCCGCTCGAGCAAATCGACGACTAACGGGAAGTTAAGTGATTAAGTGATGCAAGGCAAGAGAGCGCAGGAAGAGAGCAGTGGTGGGAGCACAGGCAGTGCTTGAGAGATGTTCAGGTTCAATTTGCAGCAGCACGTAGTTCCCAGAGCATTACCAGGAATAAGCCCCCAAGTGCCAAGCTGAGAGTCATCCATATACACCACCACATGTGGTTCAAGAACGAGAAAGAA